TCTCTCTCTCTCTCTCTCTCTCTCTCTCTCTCTCTCTCTCTCTCTCTCTCTCTCTCTCTCTCTCTCTCTCTCTCTCGTCTTACTCCCATGTCTTCCTTGAAACCCGAAGACCACCCCTCCGCCTCACTGTACATCCAAGCCCGCCAGCTATGGAGGCTGGGCTATGGCGCTGCCCTCAGCAGCGCCCTCCTTGCACGACCGCACGTGCTTGCACTTCGCCTCTCAGCGCTAGCAGCAGCCCACGAGCTTCAGCTCCAGCGGCGCTGCCGCCAGCATGCGAGTGCCCGAATGACTGGCCAGGCAGCGAGCTGTTTCCTATATGGAAAGAGCCTGCCTCATTCGGCAGCCTGGCTGGACTGGCCTGGGCCCAGACGCTTCCGGTAGGCCCCAGGATGCCGCGCCTCTCTTGCAGCTACTGGGCCTCATTTGGTTGGGCCTCCCAACTGTCTGTGTATGAGGCTGCGATTCTCGTCCAGGGCCTGCACACCATTCTGGAAAGGCCTGGAAGGCCTGGGATTTTTCCTCGCTGCTCGGTCTGTGTTTCCCTCAACCAACTGGCGCGACGAAACTGCCTGGACCCCAAATACGAAATTGACAGCCGAGGCCTCTCGTGATTTGCTAGGCTCGCCTTCACCTAGGGCGGGCACATGTGCAGCAGGGGCCCCTTAGGCCTGCCGAGGACACAGATCCTCGCACGGCCGGTAAACCGTAGGCAGAGAGGGAGAAGAGGACAACAAACGAGGGGCTGTGACAAACTGTTTCGTCGGGGAATTTCACCGACTACATGTGTAATAGTGCATACTAACTTTTAAAGAAAAAAACACAAGATTATTGAGGGTATAGGGAACAGGATGAGAAGGTTGGGGGGGGGGAGGGGGTGTTCTTCAGGACATCCATTAAAATTGGAACTGTACAGGGAAAAGGTTAGCATGGCCCCTGTGCACGAATGACATCCCTTTTTTTTTTTCTTTTTTTTTTTTTCCTTTTTTTTCTTCTTTTTATGGGCCTTATGATCCTGGCTCCATATCCATTCTGGGGTGCCTCAGTGCGGTTTCTTTTCCCCCCAGCAAGTCATAAGAACAGACCGACATGATGCGTAACTTGAGAAATGATCCAAATTAACAACAACAAAAAACAAGGATGAGAAGTGCGGCACCCCTTGATATTGTTCCATGCATTAGTGCCCAAACTTCAGAGTTCGACTCAAAACGAACCAAAAAAAAAAAAATAATAATAAAAAATTGTTCAAAAGAATCAAAACTTTTACCTTCAGACTCACAACCAATCAATGAAAACTGCAGGCTTGTTGTACTCTTCTGCTATTGACGACATTCCACCCAGCGGAATTCCAACTTGAAACTTAAACTGCAATGTCGCTACGAATCCATCAAAACTCTCTATCATTCAGCTTTTGACGACAAGGTGGGTAATCTGTGTTTGAAAGTCCAGGAAGTTCGCGGTAACTTTTAAGAACAGGAGGACATCTGCATCTGGATTAGAACATCTACATCTGGATTAGAACATCTGTATCTGGATTATGTTGTGTGCTCATACCTTCCCTGCGATTCGTCCGCCATACAGTCTGACAGTTTCCTTGACTCTTAGAAGAGGCGCAATATGAGGATTCGACTGGCTAACGATGAAATGGTTCACATTGAACAGCTCCTTCAGCTCGCCCATGGGCAAGTCGTTCTCCAGGCTTCCGTCAAAGTACTGTCGAGTCCTCAGGCCATGTGCTCCCTGCATAGGTTACAATGAATCAATCATAGACAGACAGTTGGTTTCAACAAGGGTCTTCTCCATTTTTCAAATATCAAGTCGCACACACCGAGGCTTTGCTCACGGCGGAATGAGTACAGCCGTACATCATGATGATTGGAGGTCGCCCACAGCGGGGGGAAGGAAGAAACGAACATAACGCAGGATGCATACAGTACCCAGTTGTGTTTCAAGGCACCAGAAAACCATCATGCAAAACCCATGGGTGTCACAATGCGGGTTGGATGGTACCATGTAGACGGGGTGGCCTGGCTGCAGGGTACGATGTGGGGTGGGTCATACTATGTCGACCGAAAGGCAGTATGTAGCCTGGGCAGTATAATGCGGGGTTGGGTTGGGTGGTGCAATGTCGGGTACACGGGTGATGCTACGTGGGCTGGGCTGTAGGAACACCTAACCCCCTCCCCCAAAAAATGGAGAACCAAAGAGAAATTAGTAAATTATTCCTGAAAGAGAGAACCCCAATGGACTTGAGGAGTTGTGAGCCCTTTTCGCTACGAACTTGTATTTTTTATCTTTTTCATTATAAACAGGACAGGTAGCATCTGACATTGCTGTATCCCTCTGACGCCAGCACAATTCAACCTTATGACCTGTTTACTAACAGTTACATGAGTACTGTTCATCCACATGGTTCACGTGTTTGCTTGTATTTCTTCCTTTTTTTCTCCTAAAAAGAGTAACAGCCTTGAGATACCATCATCGCACTGATCGACCCCAGGTAACTCAGAGTTATTTTACTTAACCTGATTCCATGAGTATTTGGCCACATGGGCTGGGTGTGTGCTTGACTGTGAACAGCTCCGGTCCCTAAATTGGAATGCAGCTGGGTGGAAAAAAAAAGAAACGAAAAAGCGAGCACCTCAGCACAAAGCCTTCTTTGCCGGCCAAGTCTCTGCCATATAGATTTAGATGTTTTGAATTTAAAGGCAACCAACCGTCAGGTCAGGCGGCCAATAAGACAGTAACCCCACCCCCGCGTCCGGGGGCACGCATGGATGAGCACATACATAAATAAAATAAGCTGCTTGTTTTGTTGTGGCAGCTGCGTTGACTCTTTTGGGTGAGTTGCATTCTAACGAACAAAACACGAGGTGTCCACCATGCAGGCGGGTTGCCCCTAACATACTTGCACTCACCTGAGTGCATACTCAGACTAGGACTTTGTGATTGCAGTCAGATTCATCCGTGTCTGGCTATAATTACAGTCGGATACATTTAGGAAAGTGCTAGTGTGAGTATGACCTGGTTCCAGCACAATTCTAACTCACGAACTGTTTACTAACAATTACAATTATTAGATTTTTTTTTTTTTTTTTTTTTTTTTTTTTTTTTTTTTTTTTTT